CAAGAAGTTCCAAAATATTCAGAGTCTAAGACACACCCCTTTCCCCAAAAAAAAAAAAAGGCTGAAAATCTGGGTGCATCTTATACATCGAAGATAGCATTTTTTGTTCATTTCTGCCCTCCCCATCCCCCAGCAGCTATCTGAAAACCTCCATAAGGGTATGCACGGCCATTTTGGTGAAAGGGGCGGGGCTTCAGGAGGCAAAAAATGCTATCTTCGATGTATAAGATGCACCCAGATTTTCAGCCTTTTTTTTTTTTTAGGGAAAAAGGTGTGTCTTATACTCTGAAAAATATGGTACTTCTTGTTAATAAAAGATGCTATGTAATTCAATTTCAATAGTACAATACTACTGAAGCATTTGGTTTTATACCAATTTATTTGTTCCGCAAATCTCTCTAAACTTCTTTACCACTAAGCAAACAATTTACATTCATTTTTGAAGAGGCAGTTTCTGGTTAATGTAAAATTGAAACTAAAGAAGCAAAGACAAAGAAAATTTTTTGAAGACACCACAGTCCTCAATACATTATTCAATCAATAATTTTAATTCATTGCAACTGGTAAATCTGTGGCCATTGAATTCACACTGGAACTTATTAAATATTTAAAAAACTAATATATTTTTATTTGTTCTAAAATTCAGTTACTCCATTTCCTTGGATGAGATGGATACTTTTCTTCCTACTCCTGAGCAGACATTAAAGACTTATCAAAGAGTCATTCTCATTCACCTGTTAAAACTTCTGGCTGTACAGGGGAAATCTATTAAACACAGATGTGTCCTTAATTTCATAATAAATAGAATTGTAAAATAGCATATTCTGTTATGTCTGGAATATTCAACAATATTGCTTGTAAATAAATGTTAACTTGCTCTGACAATCAGAGAATATGTACATAAGCATTATCCACTTTTAGCTAGTATCACTATTTAGCCCTAGAAACCTTATAGTGATTACACATTACATGGTTTTTGTTAATGCAGGCACTGATTAGGTTGCAACCATTTAGCTTTTACAGTGTTAGAACACTCTACATATAGTTCTCTTTTTGAAATATAAAACTGTAATAGCTGTCCCTATTTCACAGGAGATTTTGAGTATGGCTATTTGTAAGTCTATTTATTACTTCCAATTTGGAACAGAATACAACAGATAGATACACCATTTAACTCTGAGTGAGCTTAACTCAGTAATTAGAGCAGGGTTGTGAAACTTCCGGCCCATAGGCCGGATGCATCATGTGCTGGCCACACCCATGCCCAGTTTAGTGAAGGAGGGGACAATCCTGATACATCACATGACGCTGCTATGACAATATGAGTTTGATACCCCTGAATTAGAGGGAATTACAGATATGGTGCTGGGTAAGTAGCAGAAAAAACATAGTAAAGAAACTGAAGTAGTACACACACACAAAAAAAACAAGGAAAAGTTTACTATTACCTATATTTCCACACTAGCAACAACTAAGTGTTTTATGGCACTTTGCATTATATAGAAAACTTTCATGAGTTTTATCTGGAATGTTTTTAATGATTGTATGGAAGAAAATCAGTGGTTAGTTGCAAGTTGAAGGAAATATTATGTTGGGGGACTGAGATTTCATGGGAGGCCTATTAATATACTTATTGCTTCTGATTTTTCTCTCCCTCAGAATTATGATGGCTTTATTAGCTTATGTTTTGATTTGCTTGTGATGTTAAATCCCACAATAATTAATATTCTCTCTCTCAACCATAGATGTGTTTTGGTAGAAATTCTGACCTGCCATATATAATCAAGACTTGGATTGTGAAGGATTAATCTCTTCAGAGGTGCTTTCCTGTTCAACAGATTATAAAGTGAAGGAGTATTCTTATAGATTAGATTCTTCAATCTAGTACTTCTATCATCCCTAACTAGAGGAACCAGAGCTGTCTGGAAATTATGGAAGTTGTAAGAATTTGAGGATCTAAAGTTCAGAAAGTCTGTGCCCAATCAAATTGTTTTTAAAAAAAAGTATCCCTCTTGATAGATCAAAACTGGGGAATGCTTGTTTATTCACATTTTGTCAGAGCTTTAATAATTTGCTGTGACATGAAATGTGTTTTACAAGTTTAGATTAATAGGTTAATTATGACCCAACTGGGATAGAAATAGTGGCTTCATTAGCCCATATTCTGATATCCTTTCATTTAGCTTGGTCAATGAATGTATGTGGTTTCACTGGCTCTTGGACCTATGTCAAATGTTGGTCCTGTATAAAGCAGTAGAGACTGCTTACGGATTAGAAATGTATTTCAGCTGGTATCATTATCCCAAGCCATGATATTACTATTAAAGTTTCCTTCACTTATTTATCATCCTTGGCAATTGGGCAAGCAAGGGTCAGTTAGGCAACGTCTGTTTGACATATACCATCAAAACAGACGCTGGAAATATCACTCAGCTTTCCATGACAGGCAGTAGGATATACACTCCGGCACCAGCTATATATTCTAAATCAGAAAAGATTTTATCTTAGCCCAATGTAATGCTCTCCCCTCAGCACTTCTAACTGGAGGATATAAAACAATCCAATATTCATTATAAGTATGTCCTTGAAACTCGGTACAGACAGAAACTATTGAACATGTTCTTATCTATATCCACATATACAAAATCTTGAAATGCCCCCATTGCCCCATTTCTGACTAGCAAAATGGGATACAGTGACCAATAGTATAAACAATGTCTACTTTCTGACATCAACGCTGAAGTAACATACAAGGTTGCCAAGTTTTGCATGGCATGATGTAAAATCAGACAAAGAATAATTAAGAGTAATTGGACCAGCCAGAGTATGGATAGTCAGATAGTCAGTGGATTAGGTTCAGCATTAACCATTATGTTTCTCTCAGCCACAATAGGGTTTCTGTAAGAGAAGCTTACAATTGTTAAAGTCTTTTGGATAATTTTATTGTTTTACTAATGGTCTTTTTAAAAAAAAATAAAAAATGGATTTTTAAAAATTTAAATATTATTTTATTTAAATTGTGTTTTTTAATTTTATCAAATTTATTTTAATAAAATGCTTTTGGAGTAAAAATCTATCTAATGGTAGTTTTCTATTTCAGATATACTAATAATTTAGTTTATTCAGCATGAAATGGAGATTAGATATGTAGCCATGAGGCTGTATATTCTGCAATATTTACATTTTTGGTAAACCCATTCAATGAATACAAGCTCTGCAAGCTAAATAGGAAACCTTCATTTTGTTTGCAAATAATAATATTGAAGATTTTAATTACCAGCAAGAAAAGCCGCATAGCAAAGAAATGACTTCACTTAATGACCATGTCATTTGCCTAACAACCAGTGTTCACTTTACAATTGCTTCATGACTGCCGGAAAGTGGTTGTAAAATCAATCACATAGGACTATCACAACATACGACTGTAATTGGCAGGCTCCATTACGATTCCAAGTCAAGGACTCTGCTTGTGTACATTTGCATTTATGTACTATTTGTGTGTGTTTGTATTTTATACTGTTATTTCAAGTTCATATTGTACAGATTGCCAATTTTAATTTCTTCTTGTTATATACATATAAGCCTGGGCATATTTGATTTAATATTGTACTTTTGCCAAACGGTTTTGTTCGTTTGTACTTTTCTTAACTATCCCGACCTTGTCAATTTAGTATTGGTTATTTTAAATATTTGAATACCAATTCTCTTGCACTGGTTAATGATTGCAATAAAGTTATTATCAAACTCTCCTCATATTTTACTATGGCATGTTGAGTTCTTATTCAGGAGCAAAGAGTTCTTACTTACTCTTTACTTGTAGCTTCCCCTCCTCCAATTACAGTACACCTTCAATAGCGAAGTCCATCTGTAAGTTCCTCTACATTTAGGCATTAAGAAATATTTTTATTGTTATATTGTTCTTTTTAAACTTTTCTTAAATTTATGCTAATTGTGATTTTAATTTTACATACTTGGAACTTTTTTGGAATTTTATGATGGTAGTTGTTTTGCTGGGTTTTGATGTACAATACTCTAATAATTTCTATTTTTTTTCAAATTGTATTTCTGTTTATCTTGTAAGTTAGTCTTATATAGATCTTCCATAATTCTTAGAAATAGTTAAATAAAAGCATTCTCTGTTCTAAAGATATTTATACTTGTAAACAGAAAGTTATTCCAACAATTCAAAGTTCTTACAATTTAAATCATAAGGAACTCCATCCAAATGATGGAGCTAGCATGATACTTACATAAAAAACTGTGAACCATTTGTATCTTTCCCTCTGTTGGCCATTGAAAGGAGAAATTCTTTGTTGTGCTTTACAGCAAAGCTTTCATCTAGAGAAAGCGTTTGAATTACTTCAAAAATCCAAGTTATTACCTTGCAGTGGCATTTTTTAGCATTTTAAATTAGGATTGTCAAACTGCATAAATGTTATCATTGCTGTGCCAAACAGTATTCAAATAGATAAAACTAAAGACAGAGATGTATACTATAATTCCAAGTTTATTGGGCAAAAATATAAATATTATTTGATTAATACTGTTGGACAGCATTCTCATATGATAAATGAATGCAGAAATACAACTATCTAGTAATTCATTGATCTGTTAAACAAGAACAACCTGTAAATGACTCATTCTTATTATCCAAAAAGACAAGATGATTTTTTGTGGAAAAAAATGTTATATTTTGCTACATGCAGTTTATAAGAGTGTGCCAAAAGTAATATGCTGTATTGTTAGTTAAAAAATGCCTCATGAATAGCCCTCTGTATTTTAGAAAATGTAATTTGGAAATTTGAAATAAAAATAAATTTCAATTGTATGCAACAGACTTGTTCGTAACATATTTGTGTCATAAAAGTGTCTTCTCTAACTTCCAGTAACAGCCTTTTAATATCATCAGCTCACATTTCTAGGAGCATGAAAAGAACTTGGATTGGTTAGTAAGAACTAGCATTCGGCCATCTTCTAATTTTTACAGAGAAAGACCAAAACCAGAACCATTTATTGGTCTACTTGGTCCAACTGTCAAATTAGCATTCACTTTCTGCTAAAAAAATATGATTGTTAAAGACATGTCAAATGACTGGAATGATGTTTTATCTCTCTCTCAGACATGACCAAGGAGGGCTGGTTTGTTAGCAACCAATCAAATGGTTAAGCTGGCCTTGGCAAAGGGACGTTAAATGGAGGCAAGATGCAAAGCTGTCCCACACCTCAGGAAGAAAGGACTTACTACCTTAAGAGAAGTAGAAAAAGAGGTGAGTTGGTATGCCACTGATTATGAGATCACTTGAGGCCAGACTTTTTACAAGTTCTAAAATAACTGTACAGTTTATGATTCTCATTATGAACCTCAAAATAAACTATCATCCTTAGTAAAAGTTATTTTGTAGATTGATAAAATATGTTGTTCCTATTCACAACATAATGGTGGAATTGCAGGCTAATCTGAGAAGAAATAGTTCTTACCTTCAAAAAAGCCTCCATAAATTGATTCTCCTCCTCTTCCATTTCCTTGTATGGGAAAAAAACACACACATATAAGAAAAGATTATGAAAGCATCCAATAGAAGATAATATAGGTAGTTCAGGATTAAACTGGGAATCTTAATGTTCTCTGAGCTTGATTATTTGTTGACATTTCAGTACCTGAATTGGGTAAGATCATCAGTGCTAGTGAGTATGGAGTTTGCTCCCTATTTATATATACTAACTTGCCCTGCCAGTGTTGATGGAGATGTGGTTTTCTCCTTGGTAGTATTTTTTATTAAGGTACAGCTTTCTGCTAGAATGTTTGTCTAGTGTTAATCCATGCTTATTCAGATATTGGCATCAAGGGTCTTGGAATTGATACCAAAGAATTCACAAACTTTAAAATATTTATATTCAGACTGAATAGCTTTATACACAATATTGTTATGGAAGAAGTAACAGAAAACAAGCTTGTTATTTTCCTATCCATCTAGGCCATTTAAAATAGACATTAATAAACCAGAATGAGAGAGTTCTAAATTTTCTTATATTTTTACAAATGAATTCAGATTTTTTAAGAAGGAAAAAATGGCAATATTTTAGTAACATTTTTAGCAAAGTACTTTGTTTGAAACTATCATAGAAGTTAATTCCTAAACCTTTGCAAGAGACTATCATCATAAGGGGTTTTTCCACAAAAAATAGACATCAAAATTATTTAAATATTATAAAATGTGTATTTACATTTGAACAATTACAGGTAATAATTTGAAACAAGTAATGCCATACCTTCACTGAAGTCACCACCTTGGATCATGAAATCTTTCACAACTCTATGAAATAAACAACTTTTGTAATGAAGTGGTTTCTGTGTTGATTTTCCAATACCTTTTTCACCTATAAAGAAATAATTTAATGCACATTAAACATTAGTGACAGAATCTCACACAATGAAATACAAATAAAATTGTAAATCAGCTTTTGGTTTTTTAAAAACTCTAAATACTAAGCCACTAAAAGAAAAAAAAGGCCATACAGTACTAATAATAGTAAAAATGTGAAATATTTCTATATAATAGGCAAAATCCACAGAACTGTACCCATTTGTTAATTCATACAGGTAGTCCTCATTTAGCAATTATAATTGGTTACAATGAAATGGTCCCTAAGCAAACAACATGATATAGAGAGAAAAAGGAAGGGGGACAGCAAAGATTACTGGATGCTGCCATCTCATTTATATAGTTCCCTTGTGCAGCAATGCCAGTGTTACTCTTATTCTGACATGCGCTGTTGTCAGGTGCAGAAATTTGAACCTAAAGGTATGCATTGGTTGGAAAATAATTTTAATACCATTTATTCCCATTGTATTTGTAAACAGTTGCTCTCTGAGGCAGTTACAAATGAGGACTGCCTGCATAATAAAGTGGTCTGAAACATCAGTTAACTTATCAAATGTAAGGCACCACTATTCAAGGACAGACTTGTTTGCATTTTGTTTCAGATAAACACAACCTGGCTGCAGAGTGCTAAAGAAAAAGGACGAAAAAAGCTATAGTTGTTTTTTTCTGTATGTCTCAGAATGAAAGAGTAGATCTGTATATCCTGCATTTAAGTCACTCTCGAGTTACAATCATTTGTTCAGCAATGTGTGAGTGAAGGATGGAAGATATTATGGTAAGATATGGGCAAATGTCTTCTCTAAGAACCTAAATGAAACTCAAGAGTTAGTCAGAATTAATAAAATTCCTCCAATGACAGTGGAGAATTTTTTTCAGACTTAGAATCATTCAGTTTTCCCTGTCTTTCTGACTACAGAAAGAAAACTAAGAATTCTCTGAAAACTTTAACTAATCTAAGTATTTTCACATTTCAAAATCGGAGCCATCGTGACCATGTTTTTAAATTACTAAAGCATATGACATTTAACAGATAGTCATTAAAGCATTTTATGTATGAATTAATGCTAAAATACTTCAAAATGGATCATAAATATATTTATACTTATTAAGTTTAAGATAAATGTGTAACATTGTGAGATTTTTTTGCATCTTGTGACATTACTCTTAAGAGCAATTAAATCAGCATTAGATTTATATAGCAAATTATGCAAGTAAGGGAAAATATCTACAAACCTGTACAAAGGCAGCGAAAGTTCTCACATGTCTTTGGGCAAACATCTGAAAATAATTCAAAGACAACTCTTCCAGCTAAAATTAAGGGAAAAAATCATTACATTTATATTAACTTTAAGAACGCAAGCTTGCATACATGGAAATAAATATAAACCAATATACAAATATAAACTTATTCTAAATCAGTTTAACTATGCATTTTTAGATAGGCTCAACATTTAACATTGAAACCAGCAGTCTTACCAGGAGTATTATTGATGCCTATGTCAAAAAAACAACGAGGTCTTTGTGTTTTCACTCCCATGGCTTTAGAATGTTATATCTGAAATAAAAATAGAGATTTTAAGGATATTTGATTATAGCATATTTATTTATTTATTTATTAAATTTATTGGCTGCCCATCTTACTACAGTGTAACTGTAGAGTTACTACTACTGCTGCTAATAATAATAATAATAATAATAATAATAATAATAATAATAATAATAATAATAGACATGATATTACAAAGCTTTATTATTTCATTTAGAGAAAAATATATACATATAGACAACAACATTGCATCGAAAATATTTTGGTTGGATTATTTTTATGGGTTCTAAAATGAACACAATACTTAGTATTTATATTTAGGAATAATCATATTAGACTAGTCCAAACTGAATAATCAACTTCCAATTCCTTATGTGTTTGTCCTCTAACATTGGTGAAGAAAAGCAGAACAGTGATACGCTAAGCAGTGAACACATTACTACTGTATGATCTTTTCCTTCCACCTCTCCTTTACCACATTTACCACTCCCTTACAACTTATTCCAGATATACCAGAAGGTGATAAGGCAGACAGTATAAAAGAACCATTCAACAATGCAAAGTAATTAAGTTTCTATAAAATATTTTATTTTTAAAAAGTATTGATAATGCCCCATTTCAACAAATCTGAAAATAATACATCACAACCAAGTCATTCTGGTTTGTTTATTACAATATTAATCTATAAAATTATATATGAATGCAAATTCTGGTTTGGATGGCTAATATTAAATAAATGTAGAGAAGGGAATATATGCAAATAGATAGTGTTACACCAATCCTCCCTTACAAAGGCACAAAGTAAATTAATTTTTTGTAATTATGAATCCAGAAAAGACAAATCTTTTAGAATCTGACAGTTGAAAGGTGATTTCTCCAGCATAAATCATAGCATCTTCCTATTTCATCCATCACTGTTCACACTAGTGTATAACCTTTCTGAAATATTGAAAAACAGATGGATCTGATTAATATCTAATGGTTCTTCTACTTGGTATTATTTCATATATGATAGGACAAACACTGATGAGGCAACATATGCCAATACATGGAGAATTGGCCAAGTTTCAGGTTAAAGCTATAAACAGAAAATAAATAATGTCTGAATGTTAATTTCACTTTTCACAAATTCACTTCTTGCATAATATAAAGCTGATATTTGATAAACATATTGATATATTTATTGAATGCAAACTATAAATTACTTAATCCATCAAAATATGTTCCTTTCACTAAGAACTTGTCTATAAATTAGAAGTTTCCTAATTTTTCTGCAACTTAAAATTAGTGTATTTCAAATCAGTATTATTTATTCTAGTTGCATCAAAATTTCCAGTGTTCTCTAGATCAGTGTTTTTCAACCACTGTGCTGCGGCACACTAGTGTGCCGTGACATAGTGTAAGGTGTGCCGTGGGAAAAACNAATATAAGGAAAAGAAAAGATAGATTTAAAAACAACATTCCATGCACTCAGTTCTAGATGGGGATGGGCCGTATTTTGGGGTCAACAGCCCCAGGCCTGCCGGAACAGCCAGGTTTTAGTGGCTTTTCGGAAGGCCGAGAGAGTGGGAAGGGTCCGGATCTCTGCGGGGAGATCGTTCCATAACATGGCACTTTTCTTATATTACTTAAAGATGACTGCAGAACATCATGCATATGCAAAATTAACTGAAATAGTTAATAAATATTTAAATAATAAAAATATTTGTTTGTTCCTCCCTCGTAGAATGTTATCAACTTATCAGTAAATAAATCCTACTGAAAACAATATGTTACCTTTTAAGTAGGGTAATGATGCTAAAATCTGTGTTAGTAATTATTTTAATTAAGGGTTTAAAAGCTATTTTAGCAGTTTTATGTTGCTTTAATGTGTATTTCTAATGTGTTTTGGGGAAATTTTTTTTTTAAAACTATACACATATTTGTTCTGAGAAAACTACCTTAAATATTTCCAAAAGTCTGATCACCGGAACAGATTTATAATTATTTTGAACCATTGTCTATATGCATGAATACAAGTTAACATACAGTTTACACAGATCACAATTCTGGATCAATTCTGATGTCAACCCAGTTAACATGTTGTTTATTTACCCCAGTTAAGATATAGACTTAGCTAAAGTGGGCAAATTTTTTAGTAAGAAGTAAAACTGTGCATCTCACTGCGAAGTCTCTAAGGGCCAAATATTTTTTATATAGCTTATTTTTTAATCATGGTCTGTGGATATCCTAGGAAATTAGCATATGTAAAATTTAAACAACTTGCTGATTTTCCATATAGTTATATTGCTCTATTATGTGTAATCTGGCTTGATATTTTGATAATTGCATTGCTTTGGGTGGGGTGGGCAAATGCAATATTCTGCGCATTGCATTAGGCATTTTCTTGTCCTGAGTCAAAGGTCATTCGTTCCATTCTTCAATAAGAACAATCACCCTGGTTGCTGCCAGATTTGGTGGGGGTCTGCTAACATGAAATGGCTTATCAGTCTACCATACACTTTCGGTGACAACTACCAAGCTAAATCTAACAAAATTTCTCAATTGAACAGCCCAGTGTGGTGTGAGTATGCTAAGAATGAGTTGTGGGGTGAGTGTCTGCAGTCTCATCTTTCCAGAATTAATAATCAGAATATTGAGGTATATATCAGAATATAACCACTGTACTAGGTGATCAGAATGACTGTTCTGCTTTTGTTAATCCTGATTTTATACTAAGCATACTAAGAGGATACAGCCACTTTAATAAATAAAGGAGAAAAGTGAGGGACAAATTTCTCTAGTGTTAGGTGCACAAGCATTGATCTGTTACTATTGGGACAGGAAGAAATGGTGAGAGATACTCTATACCAAATAACTGGATGCTGCTGCCCTTAGTATTGGCATTCATGGTTATAAATTAGTAGATTAGTTCAGAATGGTTTCCATAACCATTTATCTACCTGATAATATCACTGGTTCAGCAAACCACCTTCCTATGCAGAAGGAAATTGACTTACTGTAATTGATGACCTAAATGTGTTTTACTGTAGGTTTGAGAGGAAACCATTGTTACCTATCCCCACCATCTCCATATCAGATACACTAATAACAGCCAAGCCTCCTATAACTGACAGCATCCCTTTGGGGATTCCATCTCTGGTGATTACAGAAAATGATGTGCATGGCCTATTTCATAAACAAAAGTGGAAAAGCATAAAGCTCAGACAAGATAACACCTGTTTGTTTGAAAGCTTATGCTGACCAATTGGCCCCCAACTTCACCTGCATCTTTAATAAATCACTAGAGATGTGCTATGTTCCTTCTTGCTTCAAACGTTCTACTATCAACCGGTGCCAAATAAACCTTCCATTAAGGAGCTGAATTACTATAGACCGGTTGCTCTGACATTTGTAGTTATGATTGCTTCAAACGTTCTACTATCAACCAGTGCCAAAGAAATCTTCCATTAAGGAACTGAATGACTATAGACCGGTTGCTCTGACATCTGTAGTTATGAAAACCATCATGGACCCACTGTTAGATCACTTGTAATTTGCCTACCGAGCAAATAGATTGGCACATGATGCTGTCAATATGGCTCTCCTACATCTTAACAACATCTTGAATCTCCAAAGACCCATGCAAGGGTCCTTTTTGTAGACTTCAGCTTGGCATTCAATACAATCATTCCGGATATTCTTCTAGCTAAACTAAAACAGTTAGCTGTGCCTGACCACACTTGTAAATGGATCATAAGCTTTCTAACAGACAGGAAGCAGCAGGTGAAGCTAGGCAGAATCACATCAGATATCTGTACAATTAGCACAGGAGCCCCCCCACCCCCAGGGCTGTGTGCTCTCTCCACTTCTCTCTATATACCGATGACTGCATCTCAAAGGATCCTTCTGTTAAAGTACTGAAGTTTGTAGATGATTCAACAGTGATTGGTCTCATTCAAGACAATGAATCTGCATACCGATGGGAGGTTGAACAACTAGCCTTGTAGTGCGGCTGGAATAATCTTGAACTAAACACACTCAAAACTGTAGAAATGATAGTAGATTTTAGGAGAAGCCCTCATATACTACCACCACTTACAATACTAGACAACACAGTAGCAACAGTAGACTTCAAGTTTCTAGATTCTTGAGACTTAAAATGGACATCTAACATCAAATATGTCATCAAAAAAGCACAATAAAGAATGTTCTTCCTCTGCCAACATAGAAAGCTCAGGCTGCCCAAGGAGCTGCTGATACAGTTCTACAGAGGAATTATGTAGACAGACACAGAGTTCAATGGAGTTAAAACTGCAGAAAAAAAAATTGCTACCAATCTGCCTTCAATTGAGGACCTATATACTGCACGAGCCAGAAAAAGGGCCGTGAAATATAAACCCCTCGTATCCTGGACATAAACTGTTTCAACTTCTACCCTCAAACTAACGCTATAGGGCACTGCACATCAGAACAACTAGACATAAGGAGTCCCCCCTCCTTCCCATCACTCTGCTAAACAACTAATTCCCACAATACTGTCAAATTATTTACAATTATTCTTCTCATCTTCCCTATTCCCTATCTCCTTATGGCTATAATGTTGTTGCTTGTATCTTACAATTTATACTGTTTACTTAGTATCCTAGTATGATTTATGTTGATTGCTTATTTAGTATCCATGACTATCACTAAGTGTTGTATCTAATGAATGCATTTTTACAATGACTATAATAATGATCTATCATTATTGTTATATGTAGAGAGCTTATGCACAGAAATGACAAATTGCGTGTGTCTAATCACACTTGGCCAAAAAAGAATTCAAATTCTAATGTCATTATTTTTCCACTATATTATTCTATTTTATGTTATACATTATTTCCACTAGTTTGTTATCTTCATGTTTACACATAGATCTTAGTAGTTTAATATCATACTATTGTGTTGGTATTTTTTTTTTAAAAAAAAAACCCTTACCTTTCCCTTTCCCTTTCTCTGTTCTTTATCTCTTTTTCTTTTTCATCTACTTTGGGAGGACTTTTCCTCATCAGAAATCTGTTTTCTGGAACAGGAGGAATCTCTTCTGGACGAANCTGTGCTGCGGCACACTAGTGTGCCGTGACATAGTGTAAGGTGTGCCGTGGGAAAAACACCCGCCTATAGTCAATATAGGCACAGAGTTAAATTTTTTTAACATTTTCTAATGGTGGTGTGCCTCGTGATTTTTTTCATGAAAAGTGTGCCTTTGCACAAAAAAGGTTGAAAAACACTGCTCTAGATCATGTTAGAAATACTATCAATGTGAAGGAAAAAGGTCAAAGAATTAAGTATAGTGCTCCACACTGCTTTCTCTTTTGATCTTCCAAATCCTACATTTTCAAGCGTCCTATACAAGAGAGCTAAAAACTATATCTGATTAGGTATTCCCATATAATTCCCAATGCTTTATGTAACTGCAAATACATTAAACAGAAATGGATACAGTATACAACTTACAGTCCTCAACAATTCGTTTAGCAACCATTCAATATTACAATGGTACTGAAAAAAGTGACTTATAAACATTTTTCCCATGTATGACCGTTGCAACATCTCCATGGTCATGTGATCAAATTTTGGGCACTTGGCAACTGGCATATATTTATGGCAGCTGCAGTGTCCTGGGGACATGTGAGTCACCATTTGTAATCTTCCCAGCTGGCTTCTGACAAGCAAAGTCAATGGGGGAAGCCAGATTTATTTAACAATTGCATAATTCACTTAACGATGTCAGCAATTTGCTTAACAATTATGGCAAGAATGGTTGTAAAATGGGACACGATTCATTTAACCTGTCTTGCTTAGCAACAGAAATTTTGGGCTCAATTTTGGCTATAAGTCAAGGGCTACCTGCATTTGCTTTCTCATTGTCACTTTTTTATTATTCAAATTTATATACTCATCCTTTCTCATATATGTGACTCTTGCCAGCTAACAAGCAATTAAAACAAATATAACAAAAAAGAGTAATATTATATTTACAACTATTTGAAAACAAGAAAAAATATGAAAGCATATAAAAACCATGACAGAATACATAAAACAACCAAGGCAATGCCATTCATCAAAATGTTTACAATAGTCACTGTACCAGCACCACCACACTCCTGGCTCCCCATGCCTAGGGTCTTCAGGGCTTTGTGAAAAGTCAGCAAGGTAAAGGTCAATCCAATCTGGGAAGGGGGAATCATGTTCCATAGGGCAGGTGCCAAAAGAGAGGCTCTCTTCCTAGGTCCTGCAAGACAATACTATAGCTGATGGGACATGCAATATGCCCCTCTTCCTAGACTGGATGGGGTGGATAGATGTAATTGCGGAGACAATCGATCAAGTAACCTGATCCCATGCCTTTCTTACATAGAAGCCAAACTACACAATATTTTAAAGGTTAGGATATACTTGTTTATATGCACAAATTCTCCTTATACTATATGGCAGAGGTCTTCAAACTTGGCAACTTTTAAGACTTGTGGACTTCAACTCCCTGAATTCTCCAGCCAGCATAGCGGGCTGGAGAATTCTGGGACATGAAGTCCACAAGTCTTAAAGTTGCCAAGTTTCAGGACCCCTATATGGACTTGAATGAAAACTACGTTTAATCCCAAACCACTTGCTTTAGGGCATGGTTGTCAAACTCATAGTATCACGTTGCCATCTCATGACGTATAGTTATGTTTTCCCCTTCGCGGAGCTAGGGCAAAGGGGGGGATGAACTACATGTGACGCTGCTGGCCTGCGGGCTGCCAGTTTGACACACGTGTTTTAGGGCATGAAGAAAAAGGTTTTCTGTCTAACTTCCAGTAGTAAAAATCTTGAAAATTTAGGTTCATAACGCACCCCCCTTTTTTTTTTGGTTAAATTCGGTATCTATTACCAGCTTTCATTGGCTAACAGTAGCTCTGCTGGATCACAAAGAAAATCCTGTCTAATCTTGTTTTTTATAGCAAATGAGTAGAATCATTTAAAAAAATATTAACAGGCAAAGTGTGCAAATTATGGTTTGAGTTTGGGGAGAAAATTTGTACATTTAATTTTCTGAAAGTTCCACTGCTGTAAATAATTGAGACCTTGTTAGCATAATGTGTTATTTTACGTGCATTTAATAAGTCAGTACTCTTTAAGAAGCCAAATAAAAATAAGTGGTCTGTTTTTTGACAACAAAACTCCTTCCTGTCATTAGGGCAAAGCAGGTCATTAATTTCCTGGATGGTCAAAATGATGCTACTCACTCTTGTATATAATGTTTCAGTTTAGGCAACATTAAATAAATAACTTTAAATTTTTATATGTAAAAAAGATTTTACAAAAAGTTTGACATTTACAAAAAAAAAAGTTTTCCCCCCAATATTAGCCTGGAGTGGATTGATAAAACACTTAGTATGGTTTAAATGTTCTCTTCAACAAACAAAAGCTACTCCTTTTTTAAAGAATATTTGTTAAATATTTTAAATATGATAGTGGAAACCTAATTTTATGATTTCTATATTCACCTTATAGCTATATTTAAACAGGAAAAAGTGAAATATTAAGTTCTAAATGCTCAGGAGTTTCAAACTCAGAACACAGGCCAAATGTGGCCCTTCAAATAATTTTCTACAGCTGGCAACAGTACTTTAAAAATGAATAAGCCTAACATGGCATGCTTAGCAAGTGAAATCTATACCTAAAGGCAGCAATGTTCCCTTATTACTTTAATGGGTATTAACAAGTAACAAGTAAAGTGAGAGAGCAACCAAAATCATCAATCTGTTACCCTCCAGAGTGAATGAAGGATGTCATATTGTTTTGGGTCCCAGGTGAGCTGGCATCTTCTGGTTCTCTCCCTCATCTCTATTTATCTGACCAACTAATTTATGTTTGCCAGACAACAGGCAAAATTGTACAAGACCATGACATTTGGGTTTGTTGCAATGTTGATGCCCACAACTCCAAGCTGAGAAGTGTGACTTAATACAAAACCTGGGCCTGACAGGCAGAGGGATGATTCAATTCGTAGCTTTGCATTAGCCAGGACTATAGCCTGCTCTCCATTATTTGCCTTTTACTAGCACCCTCATATCACCATGTCTACTTCAGGTTTATTTCAGGTGACTTGCTATGCCAACAATGGTATCTCCTGCCTGGGCGCCTCAGGTGGAAAAGAGGCTCAGTGACAGGACCCATGAAACCCAATGCAGAGTGATGACTCGAATCCAACTGTTAGGAAGTACCCTATCTTATTTTATAATTGGGTTCCTAAGGTTCTTTGTGCAAAACTAATTAACCACCATATACCAAGTTCCACTGGCAGTAACAATCCAAACTGTTATTGCATTGCTATTACCATGGCTGAAATGACTAAAGTAGCTGAACAACACACAGAATAAAAGTACTGCAATCTCTCAACTGTTTTTTTTCCTCTTTTCTAAATCATTTCTAATATTACAATATTTTATTTAATAAGGAGCTTATACATTATCCCAGTTGTGGCTGGTTATTTCATAAATGTATTTATTATATGATGTATTTACATTGAATCTCATGTTTCATTTTATTGTTGCCAAAGTTAAAGTTTGGTTTAGGCTTTCCTAAATAACTTAGTATCACAAATTTAACTACCAAACTCAAAGCAATGGAATTGAAGTAAATCGCTTTTAATACTGCTTGAAATACAGTGATTCTTAAAACTATCAAAAAAAGAAAGAAAAAAAGAAAAAATCCTTGGATCCAGAATGATATATAGAATAATCCATTATGAAATGAACTTTCAATAAACATATCGTTAATTACAGGGTTCTTGAATTCTCTCTTCTATTACCTAAATTTTTGGGGCAAAGCAAATTCCCATATTGATACTAATTTAAAAGAGCATGTACATCAGTTTTCAAATGCCTTATGAAAACAATTGTATCAACGAACAAGTATTAAACAAATTCCTTAAAAATACATTTAAGAAACCAACTGCAATAACTCCTATAACAGATAGTGGGTATTTTACCTAATTTCTTATGTTCGCCACCTTCTTATAAAGTAATAAAGCTAACATAAAATTCCAATAAAAATTAATGTTGCATCAATAATCAAATCTGTAATTTTATTAAATGTCTTATACCTTATACTGAATATATATTTTTCACATGTTTAAGAAAAGGAAAACTGAGGGAGTAGAGATAAAGAGCCAAATTTTGCTTTCATTTAGTTAATCCAAAGCAAAATGAATCTGTGCCTTTTGGATGCTTCAAATTCCTGAATACACCAATGGTTACAACTGTAAAGCACAAAATTGTACTACTTAATCATCTCCTTATCCTTAAGAGTACACATCTGTATAATAATTTGTACATTTGAAAAAAAATCATGTTTTTTTTAGAATTTCAAAACTATAGTATTGTAATGATAAGCAACATATGAAGGAGATCTATTTTTCAAATAAAGTGCTGATTTTGGAACATATGATAACTAATAGTTGGCAAGTTCCTGAAGTAGACTGTGGGAAGATCAATACAAAAGGAATAACAACACAGAGCTGGACGATTTAAGTGCGATCCCACTTGGTATAAATTGATTCATTTCGTTCTTCTCCTCTTCCCATTGTTAATTTCACTTCTTACTCTTTGCCTTTTTTTAAAAAAAACCTTTTTTACTTTGGTTACCATTCGGAACAATTGTCCCATTATCTGTCTTCCCTTTTTCCCCCAAGTTTTTTTTAATGATGAAACGGACTATTTTCTTTCATTGAAAAGACGTTTCAATCAGCCTAGATTTATTTCTACAAATTGGAGGGAAAACAGGAGAAAAGAGGGGGGGGTAGAATAGCATTAATTTTGTTTATTGTAATACTTGCGAGAGAAGAACCGCGGGTTCTTGTCGTCGTCCCCCCCCCCTTTGCACAAGTTGCCCGAAACCAACCCTACAAATCACTATTAAAACCCGAGACATACACACACGCCCCGGCTCTCCCTTCTCCCACCCATCCAAGGCCCTGTATTATATCCCCCAGCCATTCAAGGCGAAATTGCTTCTTCTCCTCCTCCCTCAACCTGTGGAGAGGGCGAAGCTTCCCTCATCCGAGGCCCTCAGGATCAGCCACTGACTCTGAATGAGGGGGGGGGGGGAAAGGGCCTCTTCTCCCCGTTAACCTCCCCCACCTCAACCCGTCAGCGTGAGGCAGATTCAAACTGGAAGAGAGCGAGAGCCTACCTCGCTTCCTCCTTTCTCTCCCGCCCGCTCCGCGCTTCTCCCGAGGGTCATCCTCCCTTCCCCCACGCAAAAAAAAAATGCCTCCGTGTGGAGCCCGCTTGGCCGCGGAACTCTTCTGACCACTCACCCGGCCCTTCTCGCCGCGGCCCTTCAAACCTCCCTCCCGGCCGAGCTCCTCACCACCTCGCCGCCGCCATGTTAGGACCTGGTGCAGACGGACTGCGTCAGTGGAGGAGGGGACGAAGCGGGAAACCCGGAGCGGCTGGAGGCTGGCGCGGGCAGAAAGGAGGGGAGCACGGGCACGCGCGCGTCTATGTGTATGCATGCGAGTGTGTGTGTATCGACGTGCTGAAGGAGAGTCTGAGGCTCTGGCGGCAAAGTCATTCCACCTGGCGCTTCAGCAAGGCGGTCAAAGAAGACTCTTCAAGATCCCCGCTCCGCAGCTGAGCCCCGTTGTTTTTTTTAATCGCCCTCTTAGGGACGCTGCCTTTGGCGGGCTCCCGGCCTGGCTTGTCTCAGAATCGACGCCGAAGGAAGCGAAGGGATGGCCTTCGCTCGCCTTTCTGTTTCGGCGACTAGTAAACCATATTCCCGGTGGCAGTTTTAAGAGGAGCGTTTCAAGGCTCCCCGTACCATTACAAGGCCGACAAGCCAAGACATGACGGCGCTCTTACTGCTAATGTCTACGCCACCACTAAAATAGAATAGAATAGAATAGAATTCTTTATTGGCCAAGTGTGATTGGGCATACAAGGAATTTGTCTTTGGTGCATATGCTCTCAGTGTACATAAAAAGACAAGATACATTCGTCAAGAATCATAAGGTACAACACTTAAAATCATAGGGTACAAAATCATAGGGTACAAATAAGCAGTCAAGAAACAATATCAATATAATTTGATATTG